CGCCCCCTGCCCGGCCGCTGGCCCTCCTGCGCTCAGCCCCTCCGCGGACCACAAGGCCGGGCTTGGACTGTGGGCTTGGATGCCAGGGGCGTGTCCAGGGGACTTTTCAGCGTTGGAACAAAATGTCTGAGGAAGGACAAGGGCCCTCCTTGTCTGTCCCGGGTGGGGGAGGGGAGCTGCCGCAAAGTCCAGCACCAGCCTCTGGGAACCTGCAAACTCCCACAGAGAGAATGAGCGACAGCCCCCCCCACCTCCCATGCCCCCCCCTCCCATGCCCGGGCATACGCAGATCAGCAAGACCCCAAACCCAGCCTACGGCCCCGCCAGGAGGGCCCCGGTCACTCCCAGGGAGGACTGGCCGCTCGGCCTGCTCCCCCGGGGCTGCCCGACCCAGGAAGCACGCGTCAGTGTGGGGCGGGGGGCGTCCCAGGCGGGTGGAGAAGCAGGGTCTGGGCAGAGAGGCAGAAACGCTCAGAGCCCGCGACAATGGCCTTGAAGACCTGGCCCAGAACCAGGATGTTCCATTGTGTTCCGGAAGCTCAAAGAGGTCATCAGCCCAAAGCAAAATCACAGTGTGGAGCCGTGAGAAAGGAGGGGGCTACATTTTCACTACTTTCTCTCTTTAAAAAAAATAAATATTTGTATTGATCTCAGAGAGGAAGGGAGGAGAAGAAGCTAGAAACAACATCCATGATGAGAGAGAATCATGGATCGGCTGCCTCCTGCACACCCCCTACTGGGGATCGAGCCCACAACCTGGGCATGTGCCCTTGACCGGAATCGAACCCGGGACCCCCCTCAGTCCATAGGCTGACGCTCTATCCACTGAGCCACACCAGCAAGGGCCAAAGGTGTAGATTCTTTCTAGAAGAGGGAAGGCGGCCACTCCAGTGAGTTACTAGGTGCCAAGTCACCCAGACGGGGTAGGACAGGCAGCCCAGCCCGGCCCGGCACCGGGGCTCAGGAGCGCCCCCTGTGCCGCAGGGACGGGCCGAGAAGTGCCACCCACTGTGGGAGCCGGGGAGAGAGGTGCAGGTAGGACTCCAACTCAGCCCAAACCCACTGAGCAAAAGTGAAACTTCCAGAAGTGAAAGTATAAACCCCTGAAAGTAGTGAGTCTGAGGAACGGTCTACGCATAAAAGAAACGAAAGGACCCGGGGGGAGGGGGTGCTTGCTACATAAGCCACAACAATCCCCCGGAAGTCATAACATAAAGACCGAAAGGCAGGAAGGCGCCTGCTGACACCCCCGCCTGCGGGCGGGCGTCCCTTTGAGCGCCTGGCCCGGCTGGCTGGCTGGTTTATG